CGAAAATTGAACATATTCATTCATATTTTTTTGAGTAGAAATTTAGCCAGGCATTAAAAGTAATATAAAACTAACACAAGATACAGTTGTTTACCACAGGAATTTGGATTTGCTGAATAATGTATGAACACACTGGCATAATTCCTGACGGTGCAAAGCAGCATACGAGCCAATGTCTAGTAGGGGCAAGCGCTCATGTAAAGAACAATTAATTTGAGATCAGGAAGGCTTTGTGAAATTCTGGGAGTGGAGAACCCAGATGGCTACCTAGTTAGTGGGTGGAAACGTAGAGACCAAGGAGAGGTGAGGATTATAGTTAGAAAAGTGAGTGTGACTTATTCAGGGACCAGTAACGTTTCTGACCTAGCTAAAGCAAAGGATCTACAATGGGAAAGAGTGAAGACAAAATTGATTACTAGAGCAGGTTGCATTGTGGAGGATCTAAAAAAGGACATTTTTTTCTGAAAAAAAAAAAAATTCAAAGATCTATTGATGGCTTCTTAGCAGGTGAGTGAAATGGTAAAATCTGTGAGTTAAGAAGAAATAAATTCAGAGCGATGTTTATTAATGTATGTTCCCAGGATCATTAATTAATGGGGTTACTCCAAAAGGGCCAAGCAATGTCAAATAAGTGTGGAAAAAACTGGAGCATTTGACTTCAAAAGGAAAATACAGAATTTCCCTAACCTATTTGACCAGGGAACCCTTTCTAGGAAAACTGTGCTTGGATCATATATTCTATATATATTGATACCAACCTCAATGTATACATTGACATATGTAATAAATGTCCAATTCTGTGTTTTTAAATAGCTCGCTTGGTGTCTAGTTTGATTCTCTGTTCCCAGATTGGTAGAAATTCAGGATCTCTTAATTTCCCCCAGGAGTGTGTCTATGTTCTGGAGTCTTCTAGTGCCAGGGAGTTAGAAGGCTATGAAATGGCGAGGTGGCACTTATCTGCTGCTTTGGGTCATTGATGTATACTAGCATCTGCTGAGATGTCCTAACTGTTCTCTGGTCCTGGGGAATTGGTCAGTACTACTGTTGTTGAGACATGTCTTTCAAACCTGGTGGCTCTCTGTAGTTCTTCCATACTATTCTGGAATTGATGGGAATACTTTTCTTACTGATCTGTTCCATGCTGAGGTATAAGAAACTCTATGTGGACCCACAGGGGCCCCGTCTTTCTTAGACAAGTCAATTAGCTATTCTGTGAGGCCTTCCTGCTTTCTTTTGGCTTCTATCCAGGAAAAGGGGCAGATGTCCCATGTACCTAATGATTTTGGGCTTTTCCCATGAGATTTCCACCTAAATCTTCTACTCTATGCCATGAGTAAGTTTTGTTTCCTAGAAAGCTAAATTTTTAAAACTCATAAGCAACAAAGGGCTCCCTTTTCCTCATATTCTCCTATAGCTTCTATTCCCTGAGGAAGTGATCTAGTTGTCCGTAAGACAGCTTAAGACCGGGACAAGGATAGAGGCAAAGAATACCTGAGGTAAAAAATCAGTTACTATTTCAAAGATACTTCCTACCACACTTTGAATGCCTTTTAGGAAATGCTGATTATAATCCACTGAGGATTAAAAGCCGATGAATAAAAGGATGTGTGTAGTAGTGGTGCTGCCTTGAGCTTTGATTATCATGTGTGGTCTTAATAAATAATGAATACCTCCTTGTCTTGTAAATCACTGTCTTTGGCATGGTGCTTTGCACAGTCCTCTCCCACATTAACTCTTGAAAAGCCTTTCTTGCTTCTGGCAACTCTTCCTCCACCATATGCAGGACAGGCTAGATCGTTGAAGACATGGGGACCAGCTGAGAGCCAACACCAATAAACAGACTCCTAGGTTAGCTCGAGATGAGCTGCCAGCTGACTGCAGGTGCTCAAGTGACCTCAGCTGAGACCAGAACTGCTCAGATGAGCCTCCACTGAAGTGTTGATATGAATCATAAACAAGTAAAATGGATGTCTAACCCACTGAGTGATGGAATTACTTTTATTGCATCAGTATAAAAATATGCAATACACTACAATGCAACAAAGTACATAATATGAGATGGTAGGTATTGAAGACAGAGGAGATACTTTGTGGGAAGATTTCCTCAATATGGATAATATGAGATGAGGCAAAAGAAAAATTCTAATGGGATGAGCAAGTTCCTTGGAAGGGGCTCATTTTTCATTCATTGGAAAAACAGTTCATTTTATTTTCTATACGGAATGAGTCAAGTGTCATTATGTAGATGGTAGTCTTCAGTGACTTAGAAAACTGTAGACAGGTAGCTGGGTGGAACCATGCCAGATGGGGTCTTCGTATCATTCTGCAGTTGTGCCTTTTTGTAAATCACTCTCACTCTCACTGGCTTGGATTCAAGAGGTTGATTTCCTGACACTACTGAAATGAAGAATAAACAGTTGTCTTATATAAGCATATTCTCAGACACTACACTAGATTTATCTTAATTCCTGATGACATGTATTTTCCTAAAGATTTCCTCAAAGCAATGACAAAAACGTCATAAAACCAAGAAATGTCAAAAATATAGAGGGATTGATGAGATGTGTCTCCAAGTTCTGAATCGAAAGTCTATTATAAGGTGGACTGCTACGAGTTAGCTGTGATTAGCTAGGCTCAAATATACTAGCTCTAGTCTCAGGGGCACTTCTCCTAGTCCTATTAATGGCTTTTTTTTGAAATTTATTTTACATCCATCACCTTATTTAATCTTTACAACAATTCTAAGATTTAGACAATATTTTTATCCACAATTTTAGAGAGAAAGAACTGATGCCAGTTCTTTTCAACCCAGTTCAAAGGACACTGGAATCCTGTGGTACCTCAAGAGCCCCTGAGCCAAAAGAGGAGGGAGGGGAAGAAAGGCCACTTGCTCTGGCTTCAACCAGAGCACATCTAATATACATAAGTATATACATTGTGTTTAAAAATTAGATATTCTAAATTTCTAATTATATATTATATATATAACTAAACATATATGTATGATATGACATATATATATGGCACCCATTCAAATTTTGTTAGAGAAATTCCCAAACACTGTAGCATACCATGATGAGTCCTAATGCCCTTATGATCTACACTAGAAACTTCTTGAAGTCAGAGACCTCATCTTATCCTTTCTTTGGTCTCACAACAGTGTGGAACCTCCCTTGACCTGTGCGCCTGCCTTCGGAAGAAGGAGCCCATGGAAATCCTTGCCCTGGCGATGCTCTGGGCTCCAGAACAGCTCTGTCTAAGCATCTCCCATGACCCCTGGCAACCTTGCTGTCTGCTTCTCACTAAAGCCAATTAAATTACTCCCGGTACCTGCAGCCTTCTCGCTGTTACCACGACTCATTGAGTTCTCGCCCAAGAGGGAAGTGATGTCTTCTCCAAATATCCTGAGGCAATTTTCAATGAGAAATTGTACAAGAGAAATCTGTAACACAAAAAGACAAGAATGGGGTGCTCTTTTCCATAGGGCATAGTTATAAATCACATTTTGTATACAGACCTTGGATCTAAGAAAAAATGGGAAGGACTTCCCAGTAAAATTCAGACTTGATAAAAATACGTAGAAACCAGGGGCACCTGGGTGGCTCACTCGGTAAAGCGTCTGCCTTCGGCTCAGGTCATGAAAGCAGGGTGCTGGGATCAGCCCTACATCACACTCCCTGCTCAGCGGGAACCATGCTTCTCCCTCTCCCACTCCCCCTGCTTGTGTTCCCTCTCTCGCTGTGTCTCTCTCAGTCAAGTAAATAAATAAAAGCTTAAGAAAAAACCAAAAAACAAAAACACATAGAAACCAGAGTTCTCTCAGAAATAACTTAGAAAGAGTGATACTTTCCCGTGTACTTTGGGTACACATTTTAAAATACTGCTCATCCGTGGGCTAAAGTTATAATGCGTGGCCTAGGTTAAGAGCTAACATTTTGGGATCAGTGGTTACGTCTTTAAGCCTAGGATAAATTTCGGGGCCCCTCTGTTGGGAGTCTGACTCTTGATTTCGGCGCAGATCACAATCTCATGGTGGTGAGATCCAGCTCCACATGGAGCCAACTTTGGGCTCCGTGCTCAGCAGGGAATCGGCTTGGACTTCTCCCTCTCCCTCTCCCTCTTCTTCTGCCCCTGCCCCTCTCACACTCTCTCTTTCCCTCTCTCAAATAAATACATATCAAAAAAATAAATAAAACTAGGATAATTTTCAAAGTAGCCTACCTTATTAAAGTTTACTTATTTTTTTGCTTTTAAATTTTGTTTCCAGTTTTACTGAGCTGTAACTGATGTATACCATCTTATGAAACTTTATAAAGTATGAACGACAACTTAAGAAAACCATTTCTTAAATGAAGAAGTATCATAAAGTTGGGAAGCAGGGATTTTGGTGGGGTTGTGAGGGAAAACCCACACAGCTGGAGAGAAAACGTATCTGTCTGTCTAACTTCAGTTCCTTCTCACGCATTGCTTTGCCTCATGCTGGCTCTCTCTGTGTGAGCTTGGGGAAGACCTGTCATCTTATTAGGATATTCTGGAATCTCTTGCTAGTTTCCATATGACGTAGCAGAGGTGAAATAGTAGCTGAGTACTTTTCTAGATGAGCCACAATTGGCAGAGGAAGGCCAATGTGTTTGGAGGCATGGGGGCTCATATTGCCCAGGCCACCCAGGATGTGCCAGTGATGACCGGAGGAGCTGGCTGTTGTCGCCATTGTGTAGTGAGGAAACCATGGCTTTGCCCAAGGTTACGAGTCCCTCAGGGATTAGGCTGAGAGTTGAACCTTGACTGGTGAAGTTCCAAAGCCCAGGTTCTTTCCTATCGTATCACACGACTCTTCTCTCTCTCATTTAGTCAGTCTAGTGTTTAGTCTCCTGGAGGGGGAAGAAGTGACTCGACTGCTCCGAGTTTCCCGTTTAACGACACCCCTTCCCAGACCCCGCCAGAGTAGGATAAAGAACTCTCCCACTCCACAGGGGCCTAATGAAAATGTGCACTTCACAAAGTTCCATCCGTCAGAGTTACTACTGCACTTGTCTGGTTCAAAGTAGGGATTCTACCCCCTGGGGGACAAAAATGAGAGCTCTCATTACCTTTCTTATCAAGTTGTCTTCCAATTCCAAGCTGCTGGAATCACGTGGGTAAAGAACACTTGGGGCTATACAAACGGATAAATTATAAGCTGTCATCTGATTGGATGAGGAATGTTGCTCAATGTTGTATAGCACTCCAAAAAGGTATCGCAAGAGAACAACATTTGCTCTTGGCAGCTGGGCTAAAAGCCTAAAGTCAGAAAAACACACTTTTAAATTAGGTAAGTGATCCCACTTAAGAGGTTGGAAAAAGAGACAGGGTACAGGGTACATCCTTGTATATCTAGCACACAACCCGCTCTAGCAGAGTTCCAGGTGAAGGTATACAAAATTGTTGCACTGAATTCAGTTCCTGAGCCAGATAACAACTTCTCTGCTTAGTTAAATGTTTCACAGACTTTTAAGGTCATAGCCCTGGAAGTCAATGCTCTAGCATCTGTCTTGGACCAGGGAATTTCGTCTACCACTTTCATGGATCCAGAAGGGGTAAAATGGCCAAGGAGTCCACATTAATAAGATCAGGAGAAGAACAATAATAGCCCTAAAGCATGCCTCTATTCTGAAGCTGGACCCCATGGGTGTGAAGAATTGAAACTCTTTGGCGTTGGTCATGATTTTAGTAGGCAAAGCTGCAAAACGTAAGCCAATGTTTTCCTGATAGTATGTTGGGTGTATTTTGGAGATGTGACCAGAGTAGAGTAATTATGGCATCATTACCTCTGGGCTGCAGTTATCTTCTCCTCTTTGTTGCCTTGATCAATAACACTGAGCCATTTGTCATAGAGATCGGATAAAAATATACTTCCTTGGATATTTCTAAGAAAGTCCTTATGGAGATAAAAAAATATGTATATATATTGTAGAAAATATTTATTGGAAATATTCCAGAGAAAATATGTAGTTAAAAAATTCAGTTCAGTCCCCACTTCCTTCACAGATACCCAAACTGGGACCCACACGGAGCTCGGCTCCGACTTTCCATTGACTTGCTCACGCGGGAGCAGGTGCTTGGATTTTCTCCCGCTAAAACTTAGAGGCATAAAAGCAGAGCTTAGCCTGTGGTGGAAATGAAGATAAAGCTCCCTTCTATCATCTGGAACTTATTTTGTGTGAGTGCTTTTTTTTTTGCAAAGTACCACAAACTGACAGGGTCTGGCTATAGACTATCCTAAATCCTATTAGCTTCCTGGACAGAAATACACATACCCATGTTGCTTGTTTTAGACAAGGTGCTAACTCTTAACTCTAGCAAGAAAAGGCCTGAAACAATCAAAACACAAACAGGTGGGCTCTTGCACACATATTAGGAAAGAACTAGGTCTTCTCACTCGGGGTATGCGTGCTCCCTGGAAGAAAGCTACTCTCACAATTGCTTCATTCTTCCTTTTCTTAACTGTCTAAAAGTCGAGAGTCTAATGGCAGACTCACTGTGGTCCTGAGGATAGATTCATTTCTAGTTTAGGACAATTGTCCAGTTAGTTTGCCATGATATTATCAAGGCCAAGGTTGCAGAGTCTGATTCTCCACCAAGATCCGTCAACTTCAGGAAGAGAAAACTTTAGAAATGTCTAAGCACCATACCCACAAGTGCACACCCTCTTCCTAGTCGGTGCTGATAACACAGAATCAGGAAGGAACCTCCTAACTCTTGCTAAAAAATCGATTCCATGTGTGCACCTTACAGAGGGCAACGCTCACCTTGCTACCTAGTGTATCATCATTCTTCTCCTGTCTCCCAATGCCTACATGTATATTACTACTGGATATCACTATGGCCCCAGAGTAGGAGTGGTTACCTAAGTCATTTGCTATTTATCCCATCTTCGAACATTAACGGGGGACAAGGGAAGACCAAATGTGACTGAGATTCAAAGACTGTACTCATTACTACATTAACATAGGGTTGTTCAGAGCTGTTAATTAGTGCCAAAGTGGATGGATTAAATTTTTTCCCTGCTCCATTTCTTTTGGAAACTTTGCCATCATTAGCAGGGTGGTGAGGATGTCTGCTTCGGTAAACAGTGTGTTTGTGTCAGTGCGTATTTTGAAATTTATTATCATGACTAGTAGTCATTTCAGTATTAGTATTTTGCATGGAGACTTCAGGAGTGGAGGTGGGGAGGGCGGTGTGTAGTGAAAACAGAAAGTATTTCTAACACATGGGGCTTTTAACTCCTAAAGTAGCTTCCTTAAATTTTGATTTTGTCAAGCATTTTCAGCTTGTCAGGTTCTTAATCTATTATGCCCATTACAGTTCTTGAGCAGTCATGATGAAGGAAACCAATCATAGCTTCAGTTACTCACGTGTGGATAATGCTAGAACCTTCCCTACCTTTAAGACGGATGCGACCACATGAACAGATTCACTGTACGGGTTCACTTTGACCCCAGAATTTAGTTTTTTCTTTAGGACTCTGCAGGATTTTATATTGGCTGATTTGCGGAAGACGCCTTCTGTGAGTGGCCCTTTTTGATTAATAAAGGAAAGCATATCCTGTAGGAAGAAAAGAAAAGTATATGGCATCTCATATCCACAAACGCAGAGCACAAGCTTGCCTCCGTTTTGAAAGAGGAGGGGAATGTAATGGTACACTGTTTTTGAGCTGGAAGGACTAAAGTCAATTTAGATTTTTTTTTTTTCAGTGTCTCTCTATATACTTTCTACCGAAATATCTATTTTACAGTCATACACTCAAACATTTTAAACACTTCTTTTAATCAGATTTTCCTTTCCACTGAGTTTCCACTTTTAAATCAAACTTTTCTGCTTCAAAGCCTTTGGGGAATCACCATCTGTTTCCTACTTTAGCATTTTTTTCTAATTATTCCCTACATAGATGCTCTTCCCCAAGTATGGAAGTCTATTTAGGAAATACTCATTTCCCATTTGTTTATTTCTCTTTAAGTGACTCTATACTCCTTTCCTACTTGTTCTATTTCCTTCCCTCTTTTAAAGTCAGGCTCAGAAACTCTCTTCTCCTTCTCTGATTACCCTCCCTTCTCATGAGTCTTTCATTGTCTTTTGCTCTATCTTCATGTCCTCTCCCTGCTGTGTAGAAACTTAATAAGGGCTGGACTCAGGGAATCCAACGGATCTGAAGTCTATTATGCTACTTATCTATTGTGTGAGCTGGGGCACACACATCCTGTACTGAGGCTTTTCTGATTCGTTTAGGCAGTGCGGAGGATGATAATCCTAGCTAGCCCCTAAATATGCTGTGATGCATGGACCTGGGGTAGTAGCTAGCAGGTAACATGCTAGCTAAGGTGATATATTTCTTCATAGCTAGCAGAACGTTCCCTACATACCGTACAGTGCTTGCAGAGATACCGAATACTCAGTGAATGTACACACTGACAATTCACTACAGCAGTTTGAGATAACACGGGCCAAACTCTGTGGCTTTCATTTGACATACTCTGTTAGGATTAACAGATTCCTATTTGCCAGAGGATGAGTCTATGCTCGTGTCAGATGTTTACAGTTGTTAGACTGAGTAGACTCTGCTGAAGGAGACTTGAGACTCATGTGAGCAGGAAGGCAATGAAGGGAGAGTGTGAAGATGAGGTGGACTCTCAGAGACTCACATACACAGAGTCCATTTTGACTGATCTGAACAGGCCTCCATGGGTCTTTGTGGAAACAAGACAGAAGTGGAATGGACAAGAATGTCTTTTCCTTTTGTATTTGCCTCATGAGTCTGCTGGACCTAAATCAGATTCTGTTCTTTGAAATAACAGTAACAGAGCTTCTCTGCCAAAGCCAGGGACTATGTAATGACTTCTCCATTTGGGGATAGATTTGGATGAGGACGCTTGGCCTTTCAGTTTCCGCTCCTCAGGAGGGCTATAGAAGACCAAAAGGAGATGACCTACCAGAATTGGAAAGGGCAGGTTGTCTTTATCACAGATATCCATGAGGGAAACTCCAAAGAGCTGTCCTGGCTTTGCGGAAGGTGGGGCTGTGCACTGGGTGAGCTGGCAAGTGCGGGAGCCCCACCAAAAGGCCCTGTCTCTGAAAAAATGGCTTTTCACAGTCTTCCGGCCGGAGTCTAAGAAGAAGAGAGAGTACTAGTAGTAGTAGTTGTTGTTTAATACGCTGAACCTTCTTTTTCCTTTTTTTTTTTTTTTTTTTACAGATTTTATTCATATTTTGACAGAGGGAGAGAGACAACGAGAGAGGGAACACAAGCAGGGGGAGGGGGAGAGGGAGAAGCAGGCTTCCCTCAGAGCAGGGAGCCCAACGCGGGGGTCGATTCCAGGACCCCCGGATCATGACCTGAGCTGAAGGCAGACACTTAACAACTGAGCCACCCATGTGCTCCAGGCTCATCTTAATTCCTAATGACTTGTATTTTCCTATAGATTTCCTCAAAGCAATGTGGTAAGCATCATAAAACCAAGAAATGTCAGAAATATGGAGGGATTGATGATACGTGTCTCCAGGTTCTGAATCGAAAGTCTACCTTCTAAGGTGGACTGCTGCCAGGTAGCTGTGATTAGCTAGGCTCAAATCATACTACCTCTGGTGTCAGGAGCACTTCTGCTACTCCTATTAATGGGTTTTTCTTGGATTACATCCATCATCTTATAGAGTGTTTACCACAATTCTAAGATTTAGACATTATTTTTACCTACATTTTAGAGATGAATAAACTGATGCTGAGCTGGAATAACTGGCCAAATATAATATAGCTGGGAAATGGGGGCATAGGAATTTACACTCTGGAGAGGTTGTTTGACATCAAGTCAAGTCCTTTTTTCTCAATGATGCCCAGTTCTTTTCAACCCGATTCAAAGGGCACTGGATTCCTGTGGTGCCTCAAGAGCCCCTGAGCCAAAAGAGGAGGGAGGGGAAGAAAGGCCCTTGCTCTGGATTCAACCAGAGCACATCTAATATACATAAATATATATGTTATGATTATATATTTATATAGAATAAGTATCTAATTATATATTATATATATATAACTACATATATATGTATGATGTTATATATATATGTGTATATATAGAGAGAGAGAGAGAGAACCCATTTAGAATTTTGTTAGAAAAAATTCCCAAACACTGTAGCATACCATGAAGTGTCCTAATGCCCTTATGATCTACACTAGAAACTTCTTTAAGTCAGACATCTCATCTTGTCCTTTCTTTGGTCTCACAACAGTGTGGAACCTCCCCCGACCAGTGAGCCAGCCTTCGGAAGAAGGAGCCCATGGAAATCCTTGCCCTGGCGATGCTCTGGGCTCCAGAACAGCTCTGTCTAAGCATCTCCCATGACCCCTGGCAACCTTGCTGTCTGCTTCTCACTAAAGCCAATTAAAATACTCCCGGTACCTGCAGCCTTCTCGCTGTTACCACGACTCATTGAGTTCTCGCCCAAGAGGGAAGTGATGTCTTCTCCAAATATCCTGAGGCAATTTTCAATGAGAAATTGTACAAGACAAATCTGTAACACAAAAAGACAAGAATGGGGTGCTCTTTTCCATAGGGCATAGTTATAAATCACATTTTGTATACAGACCTTGGATCTAAGAAAAAATGGGAAGGACTTCTCAGAAAAATTCAGAGTTGATAAAAATACGTAGAAACCAGGGGCGCCTGGGTGGCTCAGTCGGTTAAGCGTCTGCGTTCGGCTCAGGTCATAATCCCAGGGTGCTGGGATCAGCCCTACATCGGGCTCCCTGCTCAGCGGGAAGCCTGCTTCTCCCTCTCCCACTCCCCCTGCTTGTGTTCCCTCTCTCGCTGTGTCTCTTTCAGTCAAGTAAATAAATAAAAGTTTAAAAAAAAACACAAAAAAACAGAAACACATAGAAACCAGAGTTCTCTCAGAAATAACTTAGAGTGATACTTTCCCGTGTACTTTGGGTACACATTTTAAAATACTGCCCATCGGTGGGCTAAAGTTATAATGCGTGACCTAGTTTAAGAGCTAACATTTTGGGATCAGTGGTTATGTCTTTAAGCCTAGGATAAATTTCGGGGCCCCTCAGTTGGGCGTCTGACTCTTGATTGTGGCGCAGATCACGATCTCACGGTGGTGCGATGCAGCCCCACATGGAGCCAACTTTGGGCTCCGTGCTCAGCGGGGAATGGGCTTGGGCTTCTCCCTCTCCCTCTCCCTCTTCTTCTGCCCCTGCCCCGCTCACGCTCTCTCTTTCCCTCTCTCAAATAAATACATATCAAAAAATAAATAAAACAAGGATAATTTTCAAAGTAGCCTACCTTATTAAAGTTTACTTATTTTTTGCTTTTAAATTTTGTTTTCAGTTTTACTGAGCTGTAACTGATGTATACCATCTTATGAAACTTTATAAAGTATGAATGACAACTTAAGAAAACCATTTCTTAAATGAAGAAGTATCATAAAGTTGGGAAGCAGGGATTTTGGTGGGGTTGTGAGGGAAAACCCACACAGCAGGAGAGAAAACGTATCTGTCTGTCTAACTTCAGTCCCTTCTCACGCATTGCTTTGCCTCATGCTCGCTCTCTCTGGGTGAGCTTGGGGAAGACCTGTCATCTTATTAGGATATTCTGGAATCTCTTGCTAGTTTCCATATGACGTAGCAGAGGTGAAATAGTAGCCGAGTACTTTTCTAGATGAGCCACAATTGGCAGAGGAAGGCCAATGTGTTTGGAGGCATGGGGGCTCATATTGCCCAAGCCACCCAGGATGTGCCAGTGATGACTAGAGGAGCTGGCTGTTGTCGCCATTGTGTAGTGAGGAAACCATGGCTTTGCCCAAGGTTACGAGTCCCTCAGGGATTAGGCTGAGAGTTGAACCTTGACTGGTGAAGCTCCAAAGCCCAGGTTCTTTTCTATCGTATCACATGACTCTTCTCTCTCTCCTTTAGTCAGTCTAGTGTTTAGTCTCCTGGAGGGGGAAGAAGTGACTCGACTGCTCCGAGTTTCCCATTTAACGACACCCCTTCCCAGACCCCGCCAGAGTAGCTTAAAGAACTCTGCCACTCCACAGGGGCCTAATGAAAATGTGCACTTGACAAAGTTCCATCCGTCAGAGTTACTACTGCACATGTCCGGTTCAAAGTAGGGATTCTACCCCCTGGGGGACAAAAATGAGAGCTCTCATTACCTTTTTTATCAAGTTGTCTTCCAGTTCCAAGGTGCCGAAATCAGGTGGGTAAAGAACGCTTGGGGCTATACAAACGGATAAATTATAAGCTGTCATCTGATTGGATGAGGAATGTTGCTCAATGTTGTATAGCACTCCAAAAAGGTATCGCAAGAGAACAACATTTGCTCTTGGCAGCTGGGCTAAAAGCCTAAGGTCAGAAAAACACACTTTTAAATTAGGCAAGTGATTCCACTTAGGAGGTTGGAAAAACAGAGACAGGGAACAGAATACATCCTTGTATATCTAGCACACAACCCGCTCTAGCAGAGTTCCAGGCATGAATGTAGACAAAATTGTTGCACTGAATTCAGTCCCTGAGCCAGATAAACACTTCTCTGGTTAGTTAAATGTTTGACAGACTTTTAAGGTCATAGCCCTGGCAGTTGATGCTCTTGCATGTGTCTTGAACCAGGGAATTTTGTCTATCAGTTTCAAGGATCCAGAAGGTGTCAAATGGCCAAGGAGTCCAGATTAATAAGATCAGGAGAAGAACAATAATAGCCCTAAAGCGTGCCTCTATTCTGAAGTTGGGCCCCATGGGTGTGAAGAATTGAAACTCTTTGGCGTTGGTCATGATTATAGTGGGCAAAGCTGCAAAACGTAAGCCAATGTTTTCCTAATAGTATGTTGGCTGTATTTTGGAGATGTGACCAGAGTAGAGTAATTATGGCATCATTACCTCTGGGCTGCAGTTATCTTCTCCTCTTTGTTGCCTTGATCAATAACACCGAGCCATTTGTCATAGAGGTCAGATAAAAATATACTTCCGTGGATATTTCTAAGAAAATCCTTAGGGAGATAAAAAAAAAATATATATATATATATATATATACATAAATATAAACTATAGAAACTATGTATTGGAAATATTCCAGAGAAAATATGTAGTTAAAAAATTCAGTTCAGCCCCCACTTCCTTCACAGATACCCAAACTGGGACCCACACGGAGCTCGGCTCTGACTTTCCATTGACTTGCACACGCAGGAGCAGGTGCTTGGATTTTCTCCCGCTAAAACTTAGAGGCATAAAAGCAGAGCTTAGCCTGTGGTGGAAATGAAGATAAAGCTCCCTTCTATCATCTGGAACTTATTTTGTGTGAGTGCTTTTTTTTTTGTAAAGTACCACAAACTGACAGGGTCTGGCTATAGACCATCCTAAATCCTATTAGCTTCCTGGACAGAAATACACATACCCATGTTGCTTGTTTTAGACAAGGTGCTAGCTCTTAACTCTAGCAAGAAAAGGCCTGAAACAATCAAAACACAAACAGGTGGGCTCTTGCACACATATTAGGAAAGAACTAGGTCTTCTCACTCGGGGTATGTGTGCTCCCTGGAAGAAAGCTACTCGCACAATTGCTTCATTCTTCCTTTTCTTAACTGTCTAAAAGTCGAGAGTCTAATGGCAGACTCACTGTGGTCCTGAGGATAGATTCATTTCTAGTTTAGGCCAATTGTCCAGTTAGTTTGCCATGATATTATCAAGGCCAAGGTCGCAGAGTCTGATTCTCCACCAAGATCCGTCAACTTCAGGAAGAGAAAACTTTAGAAATGTCTAAGCACTCTCCCCACAAGTGCTCACCCTCTTCCTAGTCGGTGCTTATAACACGGAATCAGGAAAGAACCTCCTAACTCTTGCTAGAAAATCGATTCCATGTGTGCACCTTACAGAGGGCAACACTCATCTTGCTACCTAGTGTATCATCATTCTTCTCCTGTCTCCTGATGCCTGTATGTATATTACTACTGGATATCACTATGGCCCCAGTGTAGGAGTGGTTACCTAAGACATTTCTGGACCTTGCTATTGATCCCATCTTCGAACATTAACGGGGGACAAGGGAAGACCAAATGTGACTGAGATTCTACGACTGTAGTCATTACTACGTTAACATAGGGTTGTTCAGAGCTGTTCATAAGTGCCAAGGTGGATGGATTAAATTCTTTCCCTGTTCTATTTCTTTGGGAAAGTTTGCCTTCATTAGGAGGGGGGTGAGGATGTTTTCATGGGTAAACTGTGTGTATGTATCGGTGCGTATTTCGAAATTTATTATCATGACTAGTAGTCATTTCAGTATTAGTATTTTGCATGGAGTCTTTAGGAGTGAAGGTGGGGAGGGCGGTGTGTAGTGAAAAGAGAAAGTATTTCTAACACATGGGGCTTTTAACTCCTAAAGTCGCTTCCTTAAATTTTGCTTTTGTTAAGCGTTTTTCAGCTTGTCAGGTTCTTAATCTATTATGCCCATTATTGTTCTTGAGCAGTCTTGATGAAGGACACCAGTCATAGCTTCAGTTACTCGTGTGTAGATACTGCTAGAACCTTCCCTACCTTTAAGACGGATGCGACCACATGAACAGATTCGCTGTATGGGTTCACTTTGACCCCAGAATTCAGTTTTTCCTTTAGGACATGGCAGGATTTTATATTGGCTGAGTTTCTGAATATGCCTTCTGTGAGGGGCCCTTTTTCATTAATAAAGGAAAGCATACCCTGTAGGAAGAAAAGCAAAGTATATGGCATCTCATATCCACAAACGCAGAGCACAAGCTTGCCTCCGTTTTGAAAGAGGAGGGGAATGTACTGGTACACTGTTTTAGAGCGGGAAGGACCAAAGTCGATTTAGATTGTTTTTTTTTCAGTGTCTCTCTATATACTTTCTACCCAAATATCCATTTTACAGTCATACACTGAAACAATTTAAACAGTTCTTTTAATCAGATTTTCCTTTCCATTGAGTTTCCACTCTTAAATCAAACTTCTATGCTTCAAGGCCTTTGCGGAATCACCATCTGTTTCCTACTTTACCATTCTTTTCTCATTATTCCCTTATGTAGATGCTCTTCCCCAAATATGGAAGTCTATTTAGCGAATACTCATTTCCCATTTGTTTATTTTTCTTTAAGTGACTCTATACTCCTTTCCTACTTGTTCTATTTCCTTCCCTCTTTTAAAGTCAGGCCCAGAAAGTCTCTTCTCTTTCTCTGATTACCCTCCCTTCTCATGAGTCTTAAATTCTCTTTTGCTCTATCTTCACGTCCTCTCTCTGCTGTGTAGAATCTTAATAAGGGCTGGACTCAGGGAATAAAATGGATCTGAAGTCTATTATGCTACTTATCTATTGTGTGAGCTCGGGCACATACATCCTGTACTGAGGCTTTTCTGAATCGGTTAGGAAGTGTGGAGGATGATAATCCTAGCTAGCTCCTAAATTTGCTGTGATGCATGGACCTGGGGTAGTAGCTAGCAGGTAACAAAGTACCTAATATGATACATTTCTTCATAGCTAGGAGAACGTTCCCTACATCCCGTACAGTGCTTGCAGAGACACCGAATACTCAGTGAAGGTCCACACTGACAATTCACTACAGCAGTTTGAGATAAAACAGGCCAAACTCTGTGGCTTTCATTTGATATATTCTGTTAGGATTAACAGATTCCTATTTGCCAGAGGATGAGTCCATGCTCATGTCAGATGTTTGCAGTTGTTAGACTGAGTAGACTCCACTGAAGGAGACTTGAGACTCATGTGAGTGCAGGAAGGCAATGAAGGGAGAGTGTGAAGATGAGGTGGACTCTCAGAGACTCACATACACAGAGTCCTTTTTGACTGATCTGAACAGGCTTCGGTGGGTCTTTGTGGAAACAAGACCCATGTGGAATGGATAAGAAAGTCTTTTCCTGTTGTATTAGCCTCACGACTCTGCTGGACCTAAGTCAGATTCTGTTCCTTGAAATAACAGTAACAGAGCTTCTCAGCCAAAGCCAAGGGCTGTCTAATGACTTCTCCATTTGGGGATAGATTTGGATGAGGACACGTGGCCTCTCAGAGTTTCCCCTCCTCAGGAGGGCTGTAGAAGACCAAAAGGAGATGACCTACCAGAATTGGGAAGGGCAAGTTGTCTTTATCACACACATCCATGAGGGAAACTCCAAAGAGCTGTCCTGGCTTTGCGGAAGGTGGGGCTGTGCACTGGGTGTGCTGGGAAGTGCCGGAGCCCCACCAAAAGGCCCTGTCTCTGAAAAAATGGCTTTTCACAGTCTTCCGACCGGAGTCTAAGGAAGAAGAGAGAGTACTAGTAGTAGTAGTTGTTGTTTAATACGCTGAACCTTCTTTTTCCTTTTTTTTTTTTTTTACACATTTTATTTATATTTTGACAGAGGGAGAGAGACAACGAGAGAGGGAACACAAACAGGGGGAGGGGCAGAGGGAGAAGCAGGCTTCCCTCGGAGCAGGGAGGCCGATGCGGGGCTCGATCCCAGGACCCCGGGATCATGACCTGAGCTGAAGGCAGACGCTTAATGACTGAGCCACCCAGGCGCCCCAGACTCATCTTAATTCCTGATGACTTGTATTTTCCTAAAGATTTCCTCAAAGCAATGTGGTAAGCATCATAAAACCAAGAAATGTCAGAAATATGGAGGGATTGATGATACGTGTCTCCAGGTTCTGAATCGAAAGTCTACCTTCTAAGGTGGACTGCTGCCAGGTAGCTGTGATTAGCTAGGCTCAAATCGTACTAGCTCTACTCTCAGGGGCACTTCTCCTAGTCCTATTAATGGCTTTTTGTGGATTCCATCCATCATCTTATTTAGTGTTTACCACAATTCTAAGATTTAGACATTATTTTATCTACATTTTAGAGATCAATAAACTGATGCTGAGCTAGAAAAACTGATCAAAGGTAACATAGCTGGTAAATGGGGGCACAGGACTTTACACTCTGGAGAGGTTTCTTGACATCAAGTCAGCCTTCGGAAGAAGGAGCCCATGGAAATCCTTGCCCTGGCGATGCTCTGGGCTCCAGAACAGCTCTGTCTAAGCATCTCCCATGACCCCTGGTAACCTTGCTATCTGCTTCTCACTAAAGCCAATTAAATTACTCCCGGTACCTGCAGCCTTCTCGCTGTTACCACGACTCATTGAGTTCTCGCCCAAGAGGGAAGTGATGTCTTCTCCAAATATCCTGAGGCAATTTTCAATGAGAAATTGTACAAGACATATCTGTAACACAAAAAGACAAGAATGGGGTGCTCTTTTCCATAGGGCATAGTTATAAATCACATTTTGTATACAGACCTTGGATCTAAGAAAAAATGGGAAGGACTTCTCAGAAAAATTCAGAGTTGATAAAAATATGTAGAAACCAGGGGCGCCTGGGTGGCTCAGTTGGTTAAGCGTCTGCGTTCGGCTCAGGTCATAATCCCAGGGTGCTGGGATCAGCCCTACATCAGGCTCCCTGCTCAGCGTGAAGCCTGCTTCTCCGTCTCCCACTCCCCCTGCTTGTGTTCCGTCTCTCGCTGTGTCTCTCTCAGTCAAGTAAATAAATAAAAGTTTAAAGAAAAAACAAAAAAACCCAAAAACACATAGAAACCAGAGTTCTTTCTGAAATAACTTAGAAAGAGTGATACTTTCCCGTGTACTTTGGATACACATTTTAAAATACTGCTCATCAGTGGGCTAAAGTTATAATGCGTGGCCTAGTTTAAGAGCTAACATTTTGGGATCAGTGGTTACATCTTTAAGCCTAGGATAAATTTCTGGGCCCCTCAGTTGGGCGTCTGACTCTTGATTTCGGCGCAGATCACGATGTCATGGTGGTGAGATCCAGCCGCACATGGAGCTAACTTTGGGCTCCGTGTTCAGCGGGGAATCGGCTTGGGCTTCTCCCTCTCCCTCTTCCTCTGCCCCTGCCCCACTCATGGTCTCTCTTTCCATCTCTTAAATAAATACATATCAAAAAATAAATAAAACTAGGATAATTTTCAAAGTAGCCTACCTTATTAAAGTTTACTTATTTTTTGTTTTTAAATTTTGTTTCCAGTTTTATTGAGCTGTAACTGATGTATAACATCTTATGAAACTTAATGAAGTATGAACAAAAACTTAAAACCATTTCTTAAATGAAGAAGTATCTTAAAGTTGGGAAGCAGGGATTTTGGTGCGGTTGTGAGGGAAAACCCACACAGCTGGAGAGAAAACGTATCTGTCTGTCTAACTTCAGTCCATTCTCACGCATTGCTTTGCCTCATACTGTCTCTCTTGGTGAGCTTGGGGAAGACCTGTCATCTTATTAGGATATTCTGGAATCTCTTCCTAGTTTCCGTATGATGTAGCAGAGGTGAAATAGTAGCCGAGTACTTTTCTAGATGAGCCACAATTGGCAGAGGAAGGCCAATGTGTTTGGAGGCATGGGGGCTCATATTGCCCAAACCACCCAGGATGTGCCAGTGATGACCGGAGGAGCTGGCTGTTGTCGCCATTGTGCAGTGAGGAAACCATGGCTTTGCCCAAGGTTACGAGTCCCTCAGGGATTAGGCTGAGAGTTGAACCTTGACTGGTGAAGCTCCAAAGCCCAGGTTCTTTTCTATCGTATCACACGACTCTTCTATCTCTTTTTTAGTCAGTCTAGGTTTAGTCTCCTGGAGAGGGAAGAAGTGACTCGACCACTCTGAGTTTCCCGTTTAACGACACCCCTTTCCAGACCCCGCCAGAGTAGCATAAAGAACTCTGCCATTCCACAGGGGCCTAATGAAAATGTGCAGTTCACAAAGTTCCATCCGTCAGAGTTACTACTGCACATGTCCGGTTCAAAGAAGGGATTCTACCCCCTGGGGGACAAGAATGAGACCTCTCATTACCTTTTTTATCATGTTGTCTTCCAATTCCAAGCTTTCGGAATCAGGTGGGTAAAGAACGCATGGGGCTATACAAACGGATAAATTATAAGCTTTCATCTGATTGGATGACGAATGTTGCTCAATGTTGTATAGCACTCCAAAAAGGTATCGCAAGAGAACAACATTTGCTCTTGGCAGCTGGGCTAAAAGCCTAAGGTCAGAAAAACACACTTTTAAATTAGGCAAGTGATTCCACTTAGGAGGTTGGAAAAACAGAGACAGGGAACAGGATACATCCTTGTATATCTAGCACACAACCCGCTCTAGCAGCGTTCCAGGCATGGATGTATACAAAATTGTTGCACTGAATTCAGTTCCTGAGCCAGATACACACTTGCCTGGTTGGTTAAATGTCTGACAGACTTTTAAGGTCATAGCCCTGGCAGTTGTTGCTCTTGATCTGTCTTGGACCAGGGAATTTTGTCTACCAGTTTCATGGATCCAGAAGGTGTAAAACGGCCAAGGAGTCCACATTAATAAGATCAGGAGAAGAACAATAATAGCCCTAAAGTGTGCCTCTATTCTGAGCTGGCCCCCATGGGCGTGAAGAATTGAAACTCTTTGGCGTTGGTCATGATTATAGAGGGCAAAGCTGCAAAATGTAAGCCAATGTTTTCCTCATAGTATGTTGGGTATTATTTGGAGATGTGAACAGAGTAGAGTAATTATGCATCGTTACCTCCGGGCTGCCGTTATCATCTCCTCTTTGTTGCCTTGATCAATAACACCGAGCCATTTGTCATAGAGATCAGATAAAAATATACTTCCTTGGATATTTCTCAGAAAGTCCTTAGGGAGATAAAAAAAAATATGTGTATATATTATAGAAAATATGTATTGGAAATATTCTAGAGAAAATATGTAGTTAAAAAATTCAGTTCAGCCCCCACCTCCTTCACAGATACCCAAAGTGGGACCCACACGGAGCTCGGCTCTGACTCTCCATTGACTTGCACACGCAGGAGCAGGTGCTTGGATTTTCTCCCGCTAAAACTTAGAGGCATAAAAGCAGAGCTTAGCCTGTGGTGGAAATGAAGATAAAGCTCCCTTGTATCATCTGGAACTTATTTTGTATGTGTGCTTTTTTTGCAAAGTACCACAAACTGACAGCGTCTGGCTATAGACCATCCTAAATCCTATTAGCTTCTTGGACAGAAATACACATACCCATGTTGCTTGTTTTAGGCACAGTGCTAGCTCTTAATTCTAGCAAGAAAAGGCCTGAAACAATCAAAACACAAACAGGTGGGCTCTGGCACACATATTAGGAAAGAACTAGGTCTTCTCACTCGGGGTATACGTGCTCCCTGGAAGAGAGCTATTCTCACAATTGCTTCATTCTTCCTTTTCTTAACTGTCTAAAAGTCGAGAGTCCAATGGCAGACTCACTGTGGTCCTGAGGATAGATTCATTTCTAGTTTAGGACAATTGTCCAGTTAGTTTGCCATGATAGTATCAAGGCCAAGGTTGCAGAGTCTGATTCTCCACCAAGATCCGTCAACTTCAAGAAGAGAAAAGTTTAGAAATGTCTAAGCAGTCTCCCCACAAGTGCTCACCCTCTTCCTAGTCGGTGCTTATAACACGGAATCAGGAAAGAACCTCCTAACTCTTGCTAGAAAATGGATTCCATGTGTACACCTCACAGAGGGCAACACTCATCTTGCTACCTAGTGTATCATCATTCCTCTCCTGTCTCCTGATGCCTATATGTATATTACTACTGGATATCACTATGACCGCAGTGTAGGAGTGGTTACCTAAGTCATTTCTGGACTTTGCTATTGATCCCATCTTCGAACATTAACGGGGGACAAGGGAAGACCAAATGTGACTGAGATTCTACGACTGTAGTCATTACTACGTTAACATAGGGTTGTTCAGAGCTGTACATAAGTGCCAAGGTGGATGGATTAAATTCTTTCCCTGTTCTATTTCTTTTGGAAAGTTTGCCTTCATTAGGAGGGCGGTGAGGATGTTTGCATGGGTAAACTTTGTGTATGTATCGGTGCGTATTTTGAAATTTATTATCATGACTAGTAGTCATTTCAGTATTAGTATTTTGCATGGAGTCTTTAGGAGTGAAAGTGGGGAGGGCGGTGTGTAGTGAAAACAAAGGATTTCTAATACATGGGGCTTTTAACTCCTAAAGTAGCTTCCTTAAATTTTGATTTTCTCAAGGGTTTTTTAGCTTGTCAGGTTCTTAATCTATTATGCCCTTTATGGTTCTTGAGGAGTCTTGTTGAAGGACTAAAGTGTGCCTCATAGCTTCAGTTACTCGTGTGTGGATAATGGTAGAACCTTCCCTACCTTTAAGACGGATGCGACCACATGAACAGATTCGCTGTACGGGTTCACTTTGACCCCAGAATTTAGTTTCTCCTTTAGGACCATGCAGGATTTTATATTGGCTGATTTGCTGAATATGCCTTCTGTGAGGGGCCCTTTTTGATTAATAAAGGAAAGCATATCCTGTAGGAAGAAAAGAAAAGTATATGGCATCTCATATCCACAAATGCAGAGCACAAGCTTGCCTGCATTTTGAAAGAGCACGGGAATATAATGGTACACTGTTTTAGAGTGGGAAGGAGTAAAGTCAATTTAGATTGGTTTCTTTTTTTCAGTGTCTTTCTATATAGTTTTGACCCAAATATCCATTTTACAATCATACAGTGAAACAGTTTAAAAACTTCTTTTAATCAGATTTTCCTGTCCACTGAGTTTCCACTTTTAAATCAAACTTCTCCGCTTCAAGGCCTTTGGGGAATCACCGTCTGTTTCCTAATTTAGCATTTCTTTCTCATTATTCCCTACATAGATGCTCTTCCCCAAGTATGGAAGTCTATTTAGGGAATACTCATTTCCCATTTGTTTATTTCTCTTTAAGTGACTGTATACTCCATTCCTACTTGTTCTATTTCCTTCCCTGTTTTAAAGTCAGGCTCAGAAACTCTCTTCTCCTTCTCTGATTACCCTCCCTTCTCATGAGTCTTTCATTGTCTTTTGCTGTAACTTCATATCCTTTCCCTGCTGTGTAGAAACTTAATAAGGGCTGGACTCAGGGAATCCAATGGATCTGAAGTCTATTATGCTACTTATCTATTGTGTGAGCTGGGGCACATGCATCCTGTACTGAGGCTTTTCTGATTCCTTTAGGCAGTGCGGAGGATGATAATCCTAGCTAGCCCCTAAATTTCCTGTGATGCAAGGACCTGGGGTAGTAGGTAGCAGGTAACATGCTAGCTAAAATGATACATTTCTTCATAGCTAGCAGAACGTTCCCTACATCCCGCACAGTGCTTGCAGAGACACCGAATACTCAGTGAATGTCCACACTGACAATTCACTACAGCAGTTTGAGATAACACAGGCCAAACTCTGTGGCTTCCATTTGACATACTCTGTTAGGATTAACAGATTCCTATTTGCCAGAGGATGAGTCTATGCTTGTGTCAGATGTTTGCAGTTGTTAGACTGAGTAGACTCCGCTGAAGGAGACTTGAGACTCATGTGAGTGCAGGAAGGCAATGAAGGGAGAGTGTGAAGATGAGGTGGACTCTCAGAGACTCACATACACAGAGTCCATTTTGACTGATCTGAATAAGCCTCGGTGGGTCTTTGTAAAAACAAGACCCAGGTGGAATGGACAAGAATGTCTTTTCCTGTTGTATTTGCCTCATGACTCTGCTGGAACTAAGTCAGATTCTGTTCCTTGAAATAACAGTAACAGAGCTTCTCAGCCAAAACCAGGGGCTGTCTAATGACTACTCCATTTGAGGATAGATTTGGATGAGGACACGTGGCCTCTCAGAGTGTCCCCTCCTCAGGAGGGCTATAGAAGACCAAAGGAGATGACCTACCAGAATTGGGTAGGGAAGGTTGTCTTTATAACACATATCCATGAGCGAAACTCCAAAGAGCTGTACTGGCTTTGCGGAAGGTGGGGCTGTGCACTGGGTGTGCCTACAAGTGCTGCAACCCCGACAAAAGGCCCTGGCTCTGAAAGAACGGCTTGTCACAGTCATAGGGCCGGAGTCTAAGGAAGAAGAGAGAGTATTAGTAGTAGTTGTTGTTTAATACGCTGAGCCTTCATTTCCCTTTTTTTTTTTTTTTTTACAGATTTTATTTATATTTTGACAGAGGGAGAGAGACAGCGAGAGAGGGAACACAAGCAGGGGGAGGGGCAGAGGGAGAAGCAGGCTTCCCTCGGAGCTGGGAGCCCGTTGCGGAGCTCGATCCCAGGACCCCGGGATCATGACCTGAGCTGAAGGCAGACGCTTAATGACTGAGCCACCCAGGCGCCCCAGACTCATCTTAATTCCTGATGACTTGTATTGTCCTAAAGATTTCCTCAAAGCAATGTGGTAAGCATCATAAAACCAAGAAATGTCAGAAATATGGAGGGATTGATGATACGTGTCTCCAGGTTCTGAATCGAAAGTCTACCTTCTAAGGTGGACTGCTGCCAGGTAGCTGTGATTAGCTGGGCTCAAATCGTACTAGCTCTACTCTCAGGGGCACTTCTCCTAGTCCTATTAATGGCTTTTTGTGGATTCCATCCATCATCTTATTTAGTGTTTACCACAATTCTAAGATTTAGACATTATTTTTATCCACATTTTACAGATGTATAAACTGATGCTGAGCTGGAATAACTGGCAAAAGATAATATAGCTGGTAAATGGGGCACAGGACTTTACACTCTGGAGAGGTTTTTTGACATCAAGTCAAGTCCTTTTTTCTCAATGATGCCAGTTCTTTTCAACCCGCTTCAAAGGGCACTGGAATCCTGTGGTGCCTCAAGAGCCCCTGAGCCAAAGGAGGAAGGAGTGGAAGAAAGGCCCCTTGCTCTGGCTTCAACCAGAGCACATCTTATATACATAAATATATATATATATTGATTACATATTTATATAGTATAAGTATCTAATTATATATATATAACTATATATATATGTATGATGTTATACGCATTTAGAATTTTGTTAGAAAAAATTCCCAAACACTGTAGCATACCATGATGAGTCCTAATGCCCTTATGATCTACACTAGAAACTTCTTGAAGTCAGACACCTCATCTTATCCTTTCTTTGGTCTCACAACAGTGTGGAACCTCCCTTGACCTGTGAGCCAGCCTTCGGAAGAAGGAGCCCATGGAAATCCTTGCCCTGGCGATGCTCTGGGCTCCAGA